GCTTAGAAGGGCATGGGGAGGGGGGGGGGTGGAAGGATAAAATTGTACCTGTTATTTTGAGAATAGTGAGAACTAAAAGCAGTGACTTTCAAGCTCAACGTTCAAAGTTCCTCAAGATTCTTAGTTTAGTTTTACATCTACTACTTAGTGTTATCGTTTCTGTTTATTTCAAGGATCTCGCCTGAGTAAATACTTTGTAGACGGTAAAGCAAATACAGAATCAGCCCACGCCTATAAAGGAAAACCCTAACTGTGAACTCAAAGACGTAGTATCATTTCACGAATCGTTTCCCCAACGAAGAAGGTACACAGTTGAAGCTGCTTAGGTTTCCAACGGATTCACAGATCTTCTTCGCAAGAGAAACAAGGCAACGTAGGTCACCAATTATCGTTAATGCCAAAAAGAATGAGCGCAGCGCCCTGGATAATAATTGTGCCTGAGTCTTGACGGATTGTTTACCACAGCTTCCCCACTCACCTATAATGAACTGCCATTACTGTTTGCGGGAAACGGGAATTCTCAGAGTTGGGCTCTTTTTCTCTGTTTGGTGTTGCAAAGTTATTGTTATATTTGTGAGCTTTGATCATTTTCTTTTTTTCTATTTTCTTTTCAGTCGCAAAAAAGAGAATGTGGCACCTTTGACATGTTTGTTTGTAATTCCCTTTTGGTTCTTATAGTGAGTGTCGGTTGCTTTTCAGGGACGAAAGTCAAACTTCCAATATTCAAAATCATGTATTCTTTAACGGTTTCAAAGGTTTCACATTATAATATTCTCTTTTACTAAGAGAGCGCTACTGAAACAAAATTTGGAAAATAAGTCAACGGTAAGGATGACATAGAGCAGTTTCCAAAGAGCTTTGAGATGTAGATATACTAACAGTAAACAGATTGTCATCTCTGATTCAGCAATATTTTCTTTCCTTATCTGAGGGCTGCTTCTTGTTTGTGATTGAGAATGCCAGATATCCACCCCCATCATGCACCGTGCCGGAAGGCACAGACTGCAAAGAATTCCCACCTGTCTAACTTTTCAGCCAGCCACAACAGTCTTGAAGATTGTTCTAATCCCAACCAGTCATCCAGGCTGTCAATTTTCGTGGTTATTCTTTTTATTCTCTCTCTCCCTCTCTCTCTCTCTCTCTCTCTCTCTCTCTCTCTCTCTCTCTCTCTCTCTCTCTCTCTCTCTCTCTCTCTCTCTTTCTCTCCTTTTTCTCCTTTTCTTTCCCCCCCCCCCTCCCCAGTCTCTCATCCACATATCTTTTATGTTTATTTTTTTACCCTACTGTTGAATCATCTATTCGACTGTCTATCAAACCATTTGTTTGTCCAGCTATCCTTTTAACTTTATGACTGCCTGTTGGGATATTGTTCTTCCTTAGGCGTCTTTATTAATTAATCGGACTAATGAAAACTTGATCAAATTGTCAAAGTTCATGCAAATAGAATGGATGCACACCATGATTGCTTTCCCTATGACAAACCCTTTGTTTATTAAAAGTTTGGTTAAATTCTGCTGACTCGGGATAGTTTTAACATCCGGAAGTGGGTTACAGATGGTAACAAGCCACTAGTTATTTTTATTTGCCGATTTTGTCGTTGCGTGTTGTTGTGGTGCACTCCATAAGTTATAAATATTTTTACTTTTATGTCAGTCTGAAACACATTGCTCGACTGACAATGGCGTGATTATAGTCAATATGGCATGACCGCAACGCATTGGGAGTAGTTGCATCGCCGATTTAGGGGGGAGGGGAGTATTTGCTAAAGACCACCCAACTAAAAGAGCGTTAAATCATTCAAGAACAAGTAGTTACGTGTCTCTGTTCTCCGTAGACAAAAATCAGTCCAGAAAGTGGCACGACATTATTTTTCGGACACATTCTCGCGCTATTTCAATCCTTTTAAAGTGGTGACCCAACTTAACTAAGTCTTGCTGAAAAGCGGCAATCTCTGTTCCTTTAGTTGCGTGTTCATCGTAGAATAAAAACCACACCCTCTTTTCTGGAGCAGAACGTGAAGTCTTGTTGAGCCGTGGGCGGGGGGTCTCAAGGCAGTCTCAGCTGATAGGGCTGGTACGGCCATCAAAGGTCACAGGGGAAACATGATACAGGCGGAGAAAGCATTTGTTGATACCATTCTCTCTGTTGTAACCCCCCTACCACCCCCCTTCTCACTCT